GGTAGCTTCCTGCTTCCCTCGGTGGCCGCCGGACGACACGCGTTGACAGCTCGGGTCTGGCGTGCGCGGCCTGCCTCCCCACCCCTCCATCCGGACCACCAAAACACGGCCAGTCCGCGTAACAGGCCTGCTTCCATCACCACCACCACTACCACCATACTACCCGTAATCCCAGCAGCATCATGCAATACACCCCCGATTTATCACCATGCAAGGGCATGGCCTGCACGGCCTGCGCCTTGCAGTGGGGGTAGCCTCCCTCCGCCCTGCCCCGTTCTCCCCGCTCATTCGCTTTCGCCGCTGCTGCAGGTCGGCGTGCTGCTCGCCACCCTGGCGGCCTGCGTGCTGGGCGCGCCGAGCGCGGCGATGGACGCCCCGGCCGCAGTCACGTCGGAGCAGAAGCAGCAGCCGATGGAGCCGGGCCCACAGCCGGCCACAGAGTCCGAGGGGCACGCCAGGGACAAGCGTCGGCTGCCCGACCCCGGCTTCGTCATCCCAGCCACGCCCATGGGCTTCACTAAGCAGCAGCAGCAGTCGCAGCCGCAGCAGGCGCCCGCCGGCGCCCCCACCAACCCCCGGGAGAAGCACTCCGTGCAGTCCCCGCCCCGGCAGAAGAAGCTCTTCTACCCGCACGGCTCCGCGTCTGCCGGCCGTGACGAGCACATGAAGGCCCTGCAGAACTTCCTGGGGCAGACCAGGAAGCTGGGCGTCCCGGACGAGCAGGCCCTCAAGCTGCTCGACAAGGAGCTGAACAAGGGTGAGCCACCTCACCACACCGCCGGCGCCAGTGCCCGGCTGGAGTCCAAATAACCGTGTGTGTGCGAAACTGACCTTTGTCCCGGCGTGACCCACAGCCAAGCGGCAGCAGGGAGCGCAGCGGCCCGTGTACCACGCCACGCCGCTCAAGCCCTACGGCTCGCTCATCAACTTCAACAGCGCGCCGTACGAGAAGCACCAGCTCAAGGGCCCCATGAAGCCCATCAGGGTAAGAGCCGATATTTCCTTTACTTCATTTTACTTTCGTGCGATGCCGCAACTATTAGTCGGCACAGTGACCTCATGCGACGGTCTTGTTGTCTGTCCTCCAGGAGCAGCAGAACGACATCCCACCGCCGACCAAACCCCTCGTCGTCGAGTCGGACCGGCAGATCCTGAGGTCGGCCGCCGCCGCCCCGGGCGCGCACACCGAGGCCGTGGTGGTGCCGAGCGGGCCGCTGCCCGTGTCTGTACCCATGCTGGTGCAGACCCAGCAGGCGCAGCAGCAGGCCCCGCAGCAGTACCCCGCCCAGAAGCACACGACCGCCCTCGCGCTGCCCAGCGCCCAGCCCAGCGGGCAAGCCGCCTACCAGGCCGTCGCCCTGCCCGTCCAGGCCTACCAGCAGCAGCCCGCCTACCAGCCCTCCTACCAGACCGCCTACCAGCCGCTCGAGGCGCACGCCACAGTCCTGCAGGAGGCGCATCTCCAGGTAACGCCCACACAACGGCACTTTCCTCCTTGCCGTGAGGCTGATCCCGCGAATTGTGCAAGTCCCCATCTCGACGCGGGGAAATTTATGGAGAAGAGAGCGCGTAGGAAAAAAGAGTAGCGTTCTGACCTGTCGCACGTTCTTGCGTCCAACTACAGTCTAACTTTAGCGTACTCCTGGGTGGACCTCATACCTTGGGGCGCCTGCTACGCGCAGGGTAGGCCAACCCGCCTAGCAGCTGTGCGTGCAGTGCCAACAGTAGAACGGCGGAAGTAAGTGCACAGAGGGTGCCCTCATATCTTCCCCTCGGTATAAAAGAATTTAT